ATTTATCTGAACAGGAAGGTGGAGCCTGGTGTAACCTCTTCACTGACCTCCTGGGTGACATAGACTTTGAAAATGCATATGTAGGAATCCTTTTTTCCTCTGGCTGCCTTTCCTTCAGCTGGCCTTGAGGAAACTGGTGAGCCCTTTCAGTTCCCAAGCCTGTCTCAGATCCTGAGCTGAAATCCTGGCAAGCAGGTGTTTCCACCCCTGTGTGCAGAGACACATTTCTGCTGCTTTCCCTCAGTATGCTGAGAGTCAGGCTATCATCTGCAAGCACCCAAATGTGTGGTACCTGATATTCTCCAACAGGAAAGACGAGTGGTGTGCAGCCACCCTGGGGGTGAAACAGCACTGGGTTTGGGTAACAAAGCACAGTGGGATCCAGCAGGATCCCATTGGCCTTGAGCAGAGACTGCTACACCCCAGGAAAGAGCCTGTGCAAAGAAAGGTGTGGGGTGTCAGGGAGGGAGACCTGGTGGATGCAGAGAGGACGAGCCTGGGGGAGGCCCAGGGGCTGTTGGCACTTAAACCCCAAGTGACCCCCACCTCCTGCACCTTGGCAGTGGGGAGAAAAGCTGGGAGTGTGAGAATGACCACACACTGCAGATTTAGGATGGCTTCTCAAAATGACAGATATAGGCTCGTCTTCAAAATGGTCATGTCTGATTTTTCCTATCCTATGAGGAGAGAAACAGGAACCTCTTTGCTACTCTTTTGCTTTTCCTTTCACTCTCCATGTTTTTTTTTTTCCCTCATTTTGATTTTCCCTTCTTTCCACATGTATCTATTTTCTTCTGCTGTTTCAGCTGCTGTTTTAGCAATGAGTACAGATTCCTCTGGTTGCTGTATTCTACAGTTCCAAGTACTACATTTATTTATATTTGCTCCTGGGATCAAGACAGTAAAAATAGCTTACAGTCCATGGAAATACTGAGGGAGGGGGATATAATGTATTGTGCATTGCTTTAATGAATTGCCAAAAGGTGGAAACCCTGTTGGTTGGAATTGACTTTTCCCATGTCTCAAATTCAGCCCACAGCTCACTAAGTTGATCTAGAGGTCTGGGAAAGGGCATATTTCATGGTGTACATTTGCCACCTTTTAGAAAGAAAAAGAGGGAATCTGGGAGAGGAAGAGGGAGATAAAAGAAGAAGATGAAAGTGGGTATGGGAGGAAGAAGAGAGATTAATAAAGTGAAGGGAAAAAAAACCAACAGCAACAAAAACCAAAATACAGGAACTGTCAGAGAAAAAGCTACATGTAGTTTAGTGTCCTGACCTGGAATGTAACTGTACCATGTGTGGGAGAGGGGAGCCTCAGCCTCTCTAACTGCCCCATAAAGTGGTCTCACTCTGATCTTAAAAAATCCACTACCTATTTAATCTCCAAAACTGAGCTCTCCAAAACTGAGCCTTTCCAATTCTTGCCATCTTCTGCTGTGAACCAAGCCCTGCCATTAACATCTGTGCCATGCACTTTGAGATGCCACTGGCTGCTTCCCTGTTGCAGTCTCTGCTCTGGGGTGTCCAGTGAGCAGAGGCTCAAGAAGTCCCCAAATGCAGGGCTGTGGAGATCCTCACCCCTTCTCCTGGCATGGAGAGTGGAAGACAAGGCTGGTGTAGGCAGTCTCCTGGCCCTAGGTGTGAAGCTGACTGGTTTGCACCCTTGCTCCTTGGGGCTATCTAGTCTTAGCAGTTTTGTCTGGGGGACAAACATTTGGTACAATATGATGCTGCATCAAGTGAGATAACAAGCAGGGTGGATGATTGCTGCCCAAGCTTGTTCACAGTCATTCTTTTATTCAGCAGAGACACGTGTCTGTATGGATCTTAAACCTAGGCTGTGGTTTTCTGCATAACTTTATCAATGCTGTCAGGTAGGATGGTGCCCTCAAGTGCCTGCAAGCTGGGTGATGTCACTGCTCCACTGCTGACAGTGTTCCAAGAAGGACTTCGAGGTTTATAAGTGATTATCTGACGCAGTGGCAGAGGTTATCCAGGGTGTTGCAGTGAAGTTTTAACTGTCCAGGATTCAGTCACAGTAGGTATTCAGCAAAACGTCTCATGCTGTCATGCAGGCATGGATAAAGGGTAGTCTAGTACCACATATGTACAGGGAGTGTATGTGCCTTCCTCTCTGGACTACATGGGTTTCATTCCATGTCCAAAATAGCTGTGACATTTGGGCTGCTAAACAGAGCTCCAAATGAAGATGCCTGTGATTGTAATTTAGTTGTACTTCTATATCTCTATTTTCTCTGCTCCCCTTTCATCACCACTTCTGCATCTGCTCTTTCCCTGGCTTGCTCCCTTTACAGTCTTCCCCCTCCTTCTTTCTGTTCTCTGTTCTCTGTTTTTACTGCTTCTGCTCTTCTCATCAGCCAGCATCTTCCTTGGCTTTTCCCAGTAACAAAGAGCATCATTTTTACATATGCATAGGACAGAATGTTTAAAAGGATGACCCAGAGATCTGTTCTCAAAAGTTTAAAAGCATTCTTTCATGAGGTTACAGTTACAGCCTTTGTGTACTAACCCATCGTCTTCCTGTCCTTAGATGTGCCCTGCTCTCAGAGCACATGAAGCTGAAGTTCCAGGAAAAGAATGCAGAAGGCAGGAATTGCTTGCTGTGGAATAAATGCCATAATGCACACTCTCATACATCTGTCACTGTGATATTTTAGATTTCTTTGACAAACTGGAATCTTGAAGTACACTGATATGGTGGCAAATACTGATACACTGGTTTTGGACAGACAACTTAAAATACAGGTTAACATTGAGAAGCCAAGGTTAACATGACACCACATATGCCAGGTGGTGGAAATGATTTCATTGGATGGATCCTTGCCTCTATGACCTGCAGTGTAGCTGCAGGGAATGTTAGGGAGGATCCCAGATGTCCTCTGCCTTGAGCTCAGCTCTGGTCTCTCTCGGGCTTTCTGGCTTCTGGTCTGACAGACTGCAGTGCATCTGCTGTCCATGACCAGAGCATAATGGACAGGGAAGTGTGAAATTTTGGGCTACTAGACCATGGGCTACTAGACCATGCATTCTTTTAGGGAAGAAGGTAACTCCAGAAGCAAGGTTGCAACAGTGGACTGAATTCTGCCTCAACTGAATCGAGCTCCATTGATTAGCAAAGTGTAATCACACCAATGGGTTTCTGAAACAGGAAGAATGTGGGGCAGCTATGTTGGTGCATGGCATTCAGGGGGTTAACCCTCATGATTCTGAGTTGAGCTAAAATTCTGTAGTGTAATAGTGGAAGGTGTCCCTGGCCATGGCAGCAGGGTTGGAACAAGATGATCTCCAAGGTCTCTTCCAACCCAAACGTTTCTATGATTCTATGGTAATATTCAACAGGGACAGTACCAATATTTTTTAATTGTGGTAAGGCTTGAAGAGCAGTGAGTGTTTAATACACCCTTGGCTGGACCCGTGAGAGCGGCACATAGTCTGATTATCAGGGTCTGTCCCTATTTCTCATCTTTATGGTCTTCCTTACAAGACAATCTCCTCCCCTGTCACTGGAAGCTGTTGGAAGAAACATCACCTTTGACATCTCAGCATGATTGACTTCCCAATTAGCCCTGCTGGGATAAAAGAACTTCACTTGTTTGAAACCAGCCATCAGAGTGTTCCTCCTCTCCTCTCTCTCTGGACCCTAAGCTCGAGTACTACAAAATAGCATAACCAGGCATCCAAATTATCTCAAAAGCATATTCTGATGCAAGCACAGGAGTGCACCCACCTAGAAATCTGCATCTTTGCAGAGCTCACACCACAGCACCAGTTTTCATGCCAGATAGCCTGTATAGGAATCAAAGCCTTCCTTGATTTGCACCTGTTTTTAAAATTGTACTTTGTTTCAGAACTGTAGACACCCATAGTCAAGGCTGCTGGTAACCAAAGACAAGGGATTGCAGGAGTCGTCTTTGATAGATGCTGTCTCTCTGCTCCTTCTCCCAAGAGAATACAGTTGCCATGGACCTCATGATCCTGAGGTTCAAAAACTCCCACTATTGAATCTCTGATTTGATTCATGGTGTTCTGCACAAGATATGCTCACATGCACCCTGGTCCTGGCTCCCTCTCCCCTTCTCCCCTTTCCTCAAATAGCTGAGTAGAAAAGTGACATAACTTGTTTTCCATTCATTTTTGAGAAAGAAACACTGACATTTATCTTTAAATATTTGAGAAATTTTGTGGAATTAAATTTAACAAGGTCATGTACAAGCCTTGAACAGGTAGATCAAACTCTAAGAAAAAAAAAACAAACTTGGATTTTGGCCTGTTGCAGTTTGTGACCCTACCTTTATTTATGCCACAGAAGGAAAAGGCCCATGTGAATTAGGTGTGTACAGATGCTGTAGTAGTGCCTTGGAGAAGTAATTAAACTTTGCCAGAGTACTAATTTCTATTTCTGGATGGAAAGACTTTAGGTCTTTTGAAACCACTTTCTTTCTGTCCCTGCCATCCTGCAGAGAGCCTGCATCACTCGCTAATGCTTTTTGCAACAGCTCCTGGGCTCTTTCCCATTTAACTCTGCTTTACATATTAATTTATCGCAGGTGCTGCGGGAGCTGCCCTTTGCGGCTCGCCCGTCCCGAAGGAGTTAACGGGGTTTATTACATAATCTGTTTAACATGCGGGATGGATAGGAAACGCACGCCCCTCTCTCTTCTCCGGCACTCCGTGAGTTCGCTGAGCCCGGTGCCCGCCTCGCTGCCCGGCTGTGTGCCCGCCCGCTGCCCGGCTGCGCTGTGTGTCCGCATGCCCGCCCGCAGCCGAGCCCCGCTCCGCCTCCGCTCATGCCCCGCCGGCACCGCATGCCCGCGGGTCTGTCCGTCCGTCCGTCCGTCTGTGCGTGCACATGAGAAGAGAGGAGCGAGGGGAGGCGAGACCGTCCCGTTTGTAGGCAGCGCCGGCGGCCGGTGCGAAGCGTGAACGAGAACTCTGCCACCTCTGGGGCTGCTGCAAGTGGACAGACCGCCTCACATCATGCCATCTTTTGATGAGGTTTTGAAGGAGGCCGGGGAATTTGGAAGATTTCAAAAGAGGGTCTTTTTCCTCCTTAGCCAGACGGGCATAACTTTTTCTTCCCTGTTCGCCAGCGTAGTTTTCCTCGGGCGAGCACCAGGCGACTTCTGGTGCAGGATCCCTGGGGCAGCCGAACTGAGTGAACGATGTGGCTGGACGCTGGAAGAGGAGCGAAACTTCACGGTCCTGCCCCTGCTCCTGGGGAACGAGTCGGTCACGGGGCAGTGCGAGAGGCTGGATGTCACCTGGGGCGCCTCTGGCAGCTGCAGCAGCCCCCTCGGCCGCCACGGCAATGGCAGCGCGGGCAGCCCGCCTCTCGCCCCCTGCCACCAACACTGGGTCTACGAACAGCCCCGCGCATCCATTGTCAGCGAGGTAAGGAAAACACCCACCCTCTGACCGGTGGTGTATACTTACAAAAGGGGATTGCCAATGCAAGGGTTGTTGCTTTGCTGGCTGGTTTTCCTTTGCAGATTTATTCAATTCTGAATCACAAGCAAATCCAGACAATGAGTATGATCAAGTGCCGGCACTGAGCTTTTAGGGAAAGGTGAGCTGGTATGAAAGGTGGCTGTTCAAAGCCAAGTGCCCACGCTAAATTGAATGCCCTGCAGAGATATTGCTCTGTCTGTAGAGGAATGTCAGATTAAAATAAAGAGTTAAGTCCTTGCAGCTGAGGCTTCAGGTGCTCAATTTCAGGTTTAGAGGTGTAAATTCCAAGTGTACTCTATGACCAGGATCAATGCAGGTTATCTCTTCTCTGTATTTCCAGTATTGAACATGTAAGTTTGCAGGTAATAAAAAACAACAGGTGGCAGAGTGCCTATCTGAGATCTGTCAGGAGTCAGCAGAAGTGATTGTGCTTACTAAAGAAGAAAAAACAAAAAACAAACACGTTTTTGTCCAAAGCTAACATTCAGCTTTTCCTGAGTATCAGTGTCAGGGAACAGCAGGTTATTATCACTAGTGGTAAGCACTGGCAAATGCATTGATTTTTTAATGAGGCTGCAAAAGGCCAGTGAAGATTCTTTCCTAGGAGACCCTTTGTGTAATCTGTAATTGTGCCATGGGTATGCTGTGGTCTGGCTTCAAAATACAGTCTGCACACTGGGAGTGTGTATTTTAGGGTCATTCTGACAGCAGTTGTCACTTGTGCAGCGATGAAAAATCCAAAGTGTGCTTAGAGGGATTGGCTCAGAAATAATCAAGGTGCACTGCAAAATGTGCAGTTGAGGGCTCTGGTTCCTCCCTCTCTGGTGAGCCTCCTGATATGCTTTTTAATTCAGTGCTTGCACTGGAGCTGTGTCCTCCAAAACAGGGAGCAGGGCACAGCAGGCAAAGCCCTGAGCAAACACCGACAGGAGATGCTTATCCCATCCTTCCAATTCAGCATCCTTCTCCCATCCAGCTGGGGCTGCTGTATCCTCTATCAGCCTCGGGCTGTGCCGAGCAGCAGCTTTGTTCCCTGAGCCCCGTGTGCAACCTGAGCAGCTTTAGGCAGGGTTTGTGCCCAGCAGAAGAGAAATCGGAGCACCCGACTGGCCCGGAGCAAAGGTTCAGATCTGGCTTTTGTGTATGATCTGTGACATCAAGGCTGCTCAGAGGGCTGCAGATGGCATGCAGTGAGTTGGTGTCAAACTTCGGTCCCTAATAATGACGCGTCTCTGCCCACATTGGCAGTGGAAGCCAGGGAAGGCACACAAGTGGTGCCTGGGAGCTGCAGCCTGGCTCTGGATCAATCCATAGGACATGGATGTGGTGGGAAGTTTATACTGCTGCCTCCAAGGTACCTCTGCTGGGGGACTGCGAGGAGTTACACCTTAAAAATAAAAATATAGAGATTCTTTTTCTGTTGTTGTCCATTTTTCCCCCCGCTTCAGCCTTGCTGCAGGTGAAGGCATGTGGGCTGTGTCCACAAGATCATACTCAGAGTCCCTTTATGGCAGCACTTTGTGTATCTAACAGAGCCACTGTGATTTTCCAGCAGCAATGGGCACAGCTATGGGAAACGGAAACAGTATTTGTCTTGCAGCAATAAATGGGAGTGAAAGGTTCAATGTTCTCAGGCAAATACCTCATCCACCTTCACTTTCTTACTCTTCTCTGCTGAGAAGACTTTTCAGGACCAGGGAAAGGAGGAGGGATGAAGGGATGATTGGGCAAGCACTCCCACCAGTGCTCCCAAAGGTGCATATTGGGAAAACTTTGGAGTAACAGTCTGCAAAGCTGGGACTGTCTCTCCCCTCTGCCAGGGCAGCAGGTCCCACCATTGGTGTCACTGTGACTCCTAGAGACACTCTTGCTGGCTAGGTCCACCTCAGATGGAGTCTGCTGGGCTGTGACCTGTGCAACTTGGAACCTCTTCCCAGTTTTGCAACATTTTCTGGATGAATCATATCTCATGAGGCTCAATTTCTTAATCTAAAAAGGAGGCTTGTGGCATTCATGTCCTGACTCAATTGCTCTGAGATCAGCTACTAAAAGGGGCTTGATATCTTATTAATGAGTTATATACCCAGCAAAGACAAAATTTATGATTTAATTTAGTCTCTTTTCTCCCAGCTGAGTCTCTAACGAAGTGTGACTCAATTTAGGCTCTGTTTAATTAGCTCACCAGAGACTTCTTTTCTTACCCGTCTACTTGTAAATGCTTCATTCTGTCCATGATTGCAGAAATGTTTCTTTCAGCTAAAGATTTCTGGCATGTCTTGTTGAATCAGCAGTGGAAGTGACCAGGGAGACAAAGTCAAAAAGAGGAGTTACAAAACAGTCTCAGGATTCTTGTTCAGGGAGAAAGAGAGAGAAGGGGGGGAAAAGTCAGTGTACTGAAGGAGTGCTTCCAGGGCTATGGCAAGCACGGCTCCAGTGTGGATCTGCACTGTGACAGGGGATTCAGAGGGCAAAAGCAGGCATGTAAAGCCTTCTCTTTGGATAGATGTCATATCACACAGGAGGTGTGGCAGCCAAAGCACAAGCTATGGCAGTAAGTTCTGAGCACCTTCAGAAGCTAAATCACATGGCTGATTTGTGAGGAGCTGTGAAACAAACGGCTCTGTGGTACTTCACTGCTCATGCTGCCCACTGGCCGTTCTCTCTATCTTATTATCTCTCTTATCTCTATTGCTTAAGTTGTCTTATGCAAATGTGTTCACAGTAGCATCAGTAGAAGGAAGCAAAGGAAAACAGGGGAGCGTGGATTGATACAAAGCACTTACACTTCTTTGTAAGTACTACTTGGGGTGCCTGCTGCATCACCTGCTGCTGCAGGACTCCCAGGTCTCAGTGTTGGGGGTACAGTGAGGTTCTGGGAGAATATATGTTGTCATCTTATTGCAGGGGTTCCATGTTGTTGTCTCCCATCACAAAAGTTCCATACCTTCTTGGTGTTTCTCATGGGCAGCTCCTCAGGGCACAGGAGGAGCTTTCTTCTTCACAAAGTAGCCAATGACTCCAGTTCCCATCTCAACCAGCCACCCCACTCTTTTATAGCACTCTTCTTCTCATTGGTTACAGCTGTGGCCTGTTAAAGTCAGGCCTGTTCCTAATCTTTGATGATTGGCCCAGCTGCAACTCCTTAGGGGTAAGATTACTTTCTAAATTATCTTTATTTTCTTATATTCTAGCCCCCTACAAATGTGCAGGACTTTCCTCCTTCAGCATTTGAGAAGAGCAAATTATATTAAGTCACCACAGGAGCAACACATGGCAAAGCCAGTTACATTGTTCTAGTGATGGGCAATGCAGTTTTGCTAAAGATTCCCTCTTAAGATCTTTTGTGCCCAATGGGCTCTGAGAATAGGTCCTGACCTCTGCAGTGACATGGCCAAGGGTCTCTGTGCTCCATTGCTTTAGGTCAGGCTTTTCTGTGAGGGCAATCCAGATTTCAAAAGTTGTCACTGGTGCTGCACACACAAACTTGCACTGTGTTTGAGGTGAGCAAACAAGACCTGGGTTGACATAAAGGTTTCAAGATATCATTTTGAGACACAGCTGAGTCGAGGTGGTGGAGCTGTGCAGAGGACCTTGGCCCAGTGCAATCAGCTCTGGTTTAATTGAGTGAGCCTTGCCTGTCTCCCTGTGAAGCTGAGTCAGCAGCAGGATGGGAATGCTGCTGCAGTGAGGAAGTGGATTGTTTCCCAGTTTGGTCTATTGAGATTTTTCTTGGAGAGGGAAGCTGACAGGGTAAATAATCAAGGTAAATCAATTCCTGATTCACACCAGCTGGTGCCATCTGAAATGATGCTGGTCCCAGAAGGTGGCTGGCACTGCTCAGGAGGGAGGGCTGGTGACAGCAGCAGCTGCTCAGAGGGAGGAGGGAAGGGAAGGACTGTGTTGTTTCTGTGCAGCAGATGGAGAAACAACAAATGTGCTGGGAGGTTGCAGTGGACTGGGAGGTCACAGCCTCATGCTCTGGCCCAGGGGTCTGGAGGGGAGCCAGGTCACCCCCTGACCCCTGTAGCACTTGAAACAGAAAGTGTTCTGCCTGCCAAGTCCTGCTGGGTGAGCCTTGTGAAGGACCCATGTATCCAGGACATACGGAAGTCAATAAATCAAACTTTTCCAGGAAACTGTGCTGAAGATGGGGTCACTGATCCTTAAGACTTCTGGGCTTTAGCACTTTGCACTACTCTCCCTGAGAGACAAATCAAGCAGTTTGTGATAGGGTGGCTGGAAATAGTGTGCAAAGGAAGAACCATTTTCTTCAGACATTTTGTCATTGGTGACTCCTCAAGGCATAGGCATGAGCTACAATTGTGACTGCAGGAGAAGGAGAAGGCCTGAGGTGGTGGAGGAAAGGAAGAGGGAGATCTGTGTGGTCAGCAGCAGCTACAGCGCAGATGGGCATATTTTAGGCAGCATTGATTTCAGCCTTTGTTGGCAGGAGTTGAGCAGAAGGGACAGATTTCAATATGTCCTGTCTGCAGCAAAGCTTCACCCTGTAGATGATGCCACTTTGAGCCCTAACAATACTTTGTTGCTGAAGTGTGAGGTCTGAGGAGGACAGATGATAATCTGAGCATAGCCTTTTATACCTGCTGGGAATCAATCTTACTTCTCTGCTTGCCAGCCATCTCAGAAAATACCAGTCAACATTTGCAGAGAAACCTGGAAGGAAAAAAAATAATGTTTGTCTCATGGTTTTTAGTCCATCAGAGAAGGAGATAACATGTCAGTCAAACTCAGGGTGGAAGAAGCACAGCTGATCCTTATGCTATCCTCCTCCAAGGGAATAAACAACTCAATTTACCCTCAAATTGTTGATCTAGTGTGACTGTTGTTATTGGCATGGCAGTATATCCTGTCTTATTTTCACTGTCATGGTGGGATTAATATTAATTAGGGGAGGGAAAAGGGGAAAGGTCACACAGAGAGCAGAGGAAGCAGCAACTGCTGAACTTCCAATGAAACTCTGACTAAGATTTCTCTGCATGAGAGGGGCTGGAGCAGTTGCTTGCAGGGCTCATGCCAGTGGGGCTGTGTTTCTTCCACTGCTGTCACACCCTGGTACTAGTTGAGGGTTCCATTTTTTTTCTTATTATTTTGAGGACAGTTGCTGCTTTTCCCCCATTAGGAGATGAAGACTTTCTCTACCTCTTTCTTGCTTTATCCTTGAAGAGACAGAGAAAAAGGAGAAGTACAGAAAAGGCCTTTTGTGCTAGGACACTCAACAGGTGATCCCAGTGGCAGGAACACAAAGTTCATGGGCTTTTTGGTCATGCACAGGAGAGGAGGGAGACTTACAAAGCTTTCAAAACTCACCTTCCCCTCAGGCCCTGAGCCCCAGGGCCCTGGCACAGGGTAGTGGCTGACTCCTCTTGTCCTGGTAAGTGCCCAGCTTGAAACAAGACATGGAGAAGGACAGTTGCCTGAGCATTCTGCCAGAAGCTTTAACAGAAATCAAAAAAGAAGACAATTTCTCCCTTTCCACTGCATGCACTTGCAGAGGGGTTTGATGCAGTAAGGGTGTAGGAAAGATAGCAGTCTGAAAGGCCAGTGGATGAGTGGAGGAGAACTGCTCAACAACAACTCAGGAACATGTAGCAACAGTCAGCATCTCCCCAGGTTTCCTTAAACTATGAATATCTCACTGAACCATTTGTCACTGGCAGTGAAAGGGTAAACCAAACTCTTTTTGGTCACTTGTGTGAATGCCATTTAAAACATGTGTCTGGGCTCTGGACATGCTGCTGCAATTGGGCTGGGGAGTCACTGTAAAATTCTTTATTGACCATAGAGTTTAATCCATTGTTTTGTAATTTAATTGTAACAGACAGTAAAGCTCTTCAAAATTCCTCCCCAAGGATGCTACATTTTGAGGAGCTGTTAGTGGCATGTTGTGATTTAAACCAATATATTTCTACAGGGATATGTCTGCTGAAGTGAATAAAGGTCACTCAAGTACCAGGAATTACAAGTTTGTGGTTAGTCTGCAGGTCAGACTGAAATGGAAAATGTTGGCCTTGCTCAAAAGCCATGAAGAAAGGAGAAGTTGCCACAGTTCCATATTTCCCAGTCATTAGTCATGTACAAGCTCATCCAGTTGCTAATCCTTCTTACAGTGATTGCACCACTGAGGAGCTACAGGGAGCAGAGCAAAGCCTCTTCCTTCTGCCAGAGAGATCTCACTTAGGTGGTTTGCTGCTCCTTTATAGATCAGTGAAGCACCCAGCACTGTTCCTTCCAGTCACAGCACTGCTCCTGTAAATCTGAGCATCTCGTTGGTGCCCAAGCCTCAGCACATGTGCAAACATTCATGACAGGGTTGTATTTCCAACCAGCAGTGGCTGGACTGCCAGGCTGGCAGGGAGGACAGAACTGTTTTTTCCATCTCTTAAGGACACTCTAGGAGAATGTCTGGAAGGAGCTGGTTCCTGCTGCCTGTCTGTGCTGGCAGCACCTCATTTCTGCTTACAGTGGCAGCTCATCGTCAAGGCTAAGAGAGAAGCAGTGAGGAAGTGGATAGTTTCCCAATTTGGGCAGTTTTTCAGTCAGCTCCCTAAATGGAAAGGGTGTGTTCAGATGCACAGTGGCTTGTGTCCTAGAGTGGACAGAAATCCTGTAGGGGAGGGCAGGACTGAATGCAGAGGTGAGTTGCAGGGCTGTGCTGGGTGCCTGCACCAGTGCACTGAGGGGCTTGGCTGAGAGCACAGCAAAGCCAGGAGAAGGACATGCCCTTAGCTGGAGCTGGCAGGATGAGCTAGGTCACTTGCTGGGTGATTACAGTGAGGAGCCAGTTTCTAACTCTCTGGTTTCTAACAGGGTCTGTTGGGGTGCAGCCAGCGCTGTACAGAACAACAAATAGGCTTAAGATCAGGGTGAGAAAACCCCAAGGCTTTACATCACATTTTCATATCCTTCTCTCCCCACCCTCTGGCACTGCAATAAATGCTTTAGCATTTTCAAAGTGTAAACATCAGCCTGTGCATGGAGAGGTGCATGAATGTTCAGAAGGAGAGAGGAGGCACCACACCACTGCCTTTTGGGGAGGCTGCTAGCAAGGAACGTGGGAGGTGTTTGGGAGAGGTGTCATCCAGGACTAACTGGAGGCAGTCTGAGCACGTGGGTAAACTCTTGCAGATTATTTTTGTCCGAGGGATACATAAAGGGATAACTTTCATGCACAACCAAGCCAGGTCACAGCTGAAGCAATGAAGTGGGTCTGACAGGCAGCCTGGATAAAGAAAAGGTCTCTGCGGGATGTTCAATTCTTTTTTAAAGTTACATTCCCCTCTAAAGGTTATGTTTGCAAAGGAAAAACAAGACATTAGCAGCGTGATGACTTCAATGCTAGGTGCTACGTCAAGCAAGCAGAAGTGCTTATCTATATCAGAATTTATTTAAATACTTAGAAAGTGACAAAGTGCAGGGCTAACTTAGGAGAACAGTTAGTGTATGTCATTAATCTTCACAAAGAGCCCTTAGCTCCTTAGGAAGTTTCCTGTATGGTACTATTTCCCAGAATATATATACAATATTTGACTACATTGTTAGTGTAGAGGTCGTTTCAGCTGCTGTATAAATAGTAGGAAATTGCTGTACAGATGAAAGAATCCTCTCTGTTAAAGATACTTTCCCCTTCCTTTCTGGTATCCATTTGTTCTCCCGCCTTCTTTCATGATAGTTTATTCCTTGCTTGTTTGCAGTAAAGAGAGATAAAATAATTTTTAAAAAACAGGGGTTTTTTTCAGTTTTTGAAAAGGGGTCAAAGAGAGTCCCAACATCTGTCATCAGCACAGGCAATTGCATTGTGACTTTAAAAAAATCTTCTTTTAATGGCCATTCTCATAAATCCCCACTGTTTTCCAAAAATGCATCTTTTGATACCATTTGCTGGCATTGTCATAGCTTCAAAAAGCAAGAGGTTAAGCAGCATTTGAAATCTGAAAGTGCTGCTCCATGTTCAGTCTAATTTAGGAAAGCATTGCAATTGCCCTTGAGTATGAAGCTGAGAGCAGGTTTTATTCTTCTCAGAGGTTTCTGCAGCTCTTGCTCAAGATTTACAGAAGTGGAAGCCAGGTGCTCATACTTTGACTTGGCTGACATGTGGCCAGTCAGGCTCCCTGGAGTAATGGGGTTGACATCCAAGCCATGACTTTGTTTAAAGTCAGTGGAGGTGGGATATACATCAGATTGGAGACCTGTGAGGTGCCCCTTGTATGTCCTGTGTGATCTGAGACCTCTGAGATCTCAGGCCAATACTCTGGGCATTACAGCATGCAAATGGGCTGGGATGGAGCTCAGGCACATGACACAACATTTTAGGGTCTGGAGAACTGGGAATGGCCAAAGAGGCTGTTGTCTCTCTAGCCCACCCTGTGCCCACTCTGCTCAAGCAGAGTGCTTGAGCCTTGGTGCTGCCATGTGCTGGTGAGCACAAACGTGGCACATTGTGTGTGCTTCAGCGACCAGCACCTTGTTGACAATTAAAAAATTTCTTATAGCTCACATCTGAAAGCAAAAGGGTCTCTCTAGGTAAAGGCTGGCAGCTGCTGTTGTCTGTGTCTTCCTTTGGTCCTGAGGCCTCATTGTTGCAAAGATTACTCCATGTATGGACTGAAACCTCCCAAGTCCCATATGGTCTGCAGTGGTTAAATTTCTTTATTCTCCAGAAACAACTACAGTAATTTCCCATGCCATGCTTCCTATAGAATTACTTCCATTTTAGTTTAATTCTAGTTTTAGTTCACAGTCCCTTCCTTCCTCTCAACCACTTTTCCCTTCCCTTTGCCTTCTCTCATCCCCACCCCCATCCCTGCTAGTAGTGCTAGGGAGTTATGGATGCTGGAGTATAAGGAATTGAAAAGTCTGGGAAAGCTTCAGCAAGAAAACACATATTCAGTGGGTCTACAATTGACCTGAGATCTGTTTTCAGTTTCCTTGGAGACTATGTGTTTTTGCTTTTATCTAGAAGGCACTAAGGAGAATAACTAAACTAACAGATATCTATAAGATGCTGTTTTTACTGGCAATAGCTGTGGAACCTTATTCTGCACCAAACAAAGTCAGGACTTTGCCTTGGCACCATATTTAACAGTGGTGTTTGCAGAAGAGCGATTTGCTTTCCAAATCTGGACAATTGATGTATGAAAGGCAGTATCCTCTTGGCAAGGAGGAGCTTTCCCTGTTCATGACCCTTTTAAGAGTGGGCCCACCAAGTGCTTGTTATTGAGCAAGCAAATCTGAGCTTCCTCTTCCCCTTCCCTGTGGACCTATGCAGTTCTGTAGTGTTTTGCCCTGAGGGTGACAAATGACCCACCTGGGTGTGTTTATGCCTCTCCCTTGTTCCCACAGTACGATCTTGTGTGTGGCAATGCCTGGATGCTGGATCTCTCACAGGCCATCCTCAATCTGGGGTTCCTGGCTGGAGCATTCATCCTGGGCTATGCTGCTGACAGGTACAGTATGAGCTCATACTTTGGTTTGTTGGGAGGTGAAACCATTCTCAGTATCACCTGAAATAGGCACATGTCAACATTTTGCAGGTTTAATTATCTTGGGATAGATATCTCCAAACTGAGTTAACAAAACCCAGCCAATGTAATCTTTGCTTTGATTTGGGCTGGAAACTTTATGCAGTTGTACTTACTGGTCCTGTTTGGAGCTTAGAATGCCACAAAATGAGCTTTTCTTGTGGTTTCCAAACTTTTCTGTGCACATCTGGACCCAGAAAGGGCATAAAGACACAGAAACAAAAAGGAAGCAAAGAGGAGCTTTCTGACTGATGTGTACTGAAGGATATTTAATAGGCACCATTGATGATTTCCACTTTCTTTTCCTTTTTCAACAGATATGGCAGAATCCTCATCTACCTGCTCTCCTGCCTTGGGGTTGGGATATGTGGTATCATAGTAGCATTTTCACCAAATTTTACTGTATTTTTGATCTTCCGGTTTCTCCAAGGAATGTTTGGCAAGGGAACCTGGATGACATGCTATGTGATTGGTGAGAGCTGTTACCCTCTTTCTTTCTTGGTTAGGGAAAGTGAGGGGTTTTTGGAGGACAAAGACTCTGGCTGCATCAGCTTGTCATTCTATTTTTTCTTGGGAACAAAGCACTGGCCTGGAGTCAGCAGACAAAGAGTAACCCAAATCCATCCTGGTTAATGCACTTGTCCTCCAATGATTAAGAAGTGAGGGAATGGATTATTAATATATAAAGTTTTTGTTATTACATAGAAGATGTAATAACCAGGATGATAAAAAATCTACAGAGCAAGCCCCAAACAAACCAGATACACAAACAGGGACATGGCTTATTTTGGCAGAGTCTGAATGTCTCACACAGATGCTCAGAGGAGTTAGCTGCTTCTCCTCACTGGGAGGACAGCTTGGCTGGCTGCTTTCATTCTTTAGCTGAGTGTCAAGGCTGGACACCAGGGTCCATATTAGGATTATTATTTTCCTGAAATGGGAAAAGAAAGGGAAGCTTTGTTTTAAATAGCGTCAAAGCAGTAGGGATACAGAATCTTTGGTAGATTATAATTTATCAGTCTATAGTCTATAGCAATGAAACTCCTTGCACAGCAAGCTTCCTTTTGATGAGGAAAGGATATTGTTGTGGTGTCTTGAATGCCTGCCAGGTTCAGTAAGGCAGTCATAAAGCATGAAAAAGCCAGACATTGAGGAAGGAATCCTGCAAGAGACAGGATGCCAGATTTATTTAAAAATAAAACCAGCCATTTGGTGATCTACTGTTATAACCCAAAACATAGTGAGAACATCATTATATAGGGCAAAAGCTTGTAGCACTGCTGTTGTCTATGAGGCCTGTGACAAGTGTTTAAAATTCCTGGTGGAAGTTAGATGAATGGGAGCGGAATTGCAACCATACATAAACACTTACAGTGAGACCTGGGAGCACTGTGGTGATCTGTGTGCAAACATACCAGTTTAGTACCCTTTTAGTACCTAAAGTCCAAAAGAACCTTGTTTTTCTGGGCTAAGTTACACTGCTGAGCAGCTCCTGTCCAAGATCTAGGGAAAGAACCAGAAGCTGCTTTTCCTCTTACTTCCATGCACATGGCTTAAACTGAGATCTTATCTTGAAACTTTGGCGAGTGCTCTAACCAGCAATATGTTTTATGACAGACCCAGGGCTTCCTTAAAATGGCCAAGCTTTAACAGAAAGGAATGTTTTTCAATGATCAGATCAGGCTGCCTGACTTTAGGGAAAGATTCAGAGATCCAGAGAACCTCAGGAACACTGTATTACTGCAGGCCTAAGCAAGGTGCCTAACTCTTGGATAGAGTGATTCCTTCCAAATCCCTTCAGGGATCAACTCTTATCTCCTGGGATCACCCAGAGTATTTGCCAACCTAACATCTTTTAAGAAACATACATATACAGATCATAGGTTTGTTTGCACCAGGAGGGAGGTTGCTATTAATACATTCCCAAAGCTCTTGATCTGTTGTTCAGGCTGCCCCAATAAACTCCCTTTGTATGTATGTAAAAGTACAATCCAGCTCTTCTGGGGGCAGTGCTAATCAGCTATCCTTAGACAACAGAGTTGCCCCTGAGCTATGCAGAGGTGATGGATAGTCAATAAAAATAGTCATGCTGTCATATCTTTCTGCATTGCCAGCCAAAACAAACCATTGTTACTTGTACATTTGTGTCTCCTTTAGCAAAATAAATAAATAAATAATTTAAAATAATTTTTATAATAAATATTTTTTTTCTGTGTGTTGCAAGCCAAGGTAAAACTCTGCTCTTACTCTGAAGGTGTTGTAGTGAAGATAGTTTTGGAAAAAAACAGGAGACACTCCTTCATGCATTGCTCACCTCAATTGTGGATGTCATGGCCATGGGATATTGCCTGAAAAATGAGCATAGATTTCAGAGCTATTAGACACATTCACAAAATTAAAAATACACCAAATAATTTTAAAAAACCCCAAACAACAAAATATAAAACTTTCCCAATAAATAAACAAACCAGACTGGATCATACCTTCCCCTCAGAGCAACCATGATATGGTTAAGCTCTCTTCCCCACAGATGCCTTGTCCATATTACCTGCTGTGAGCAGCCTCTGCCTGAAGGATCCCTTTGTCTGGGGCATGTGCCAAAACTGCACCAGGGAGAGTGCTAAGGAATTCCCACCAAGCATGGTCGTGATGCAATCTCACCCCCCTGTTGTGGCCCTATGTGGTTCAGAAGCAAACACAAAGTCAGAAGCCCCTCTGGCTGGAGAAGGGTGGGTGAGTGGATGAGGAGGTGTCACTTGTGTTTGCCCTGGACAGCCTCAGTGACATGCCTACACTGCTGAAGACAAAATGCTGGGCTAGACACAACTGTGGCCTGATACAGCATAGCCTTCCTTATATTTCACCTCTAATGATTTATTTTCAGCTTGGGTTTGTTTCTGTGTTATTCATTGTGGCTTTGTCTCTGCTCAGTGACGGAGATCGTTGGTTCCGATCAGCGGATGGTTGGAATTGTGATTCAGATATTCTTTACCCTGGGAATGATAATTCTCCCTGGAATTGCATACTTGATTCCCACCTGGCAGGGGATCCAGCTGGCCATTTCACTGCCCAACTTCCTCTTCCTGCTCTACTATTGGTAATGTTGCAGTCATTGCTCTTGTCATTATTGCTATTGCTATTTGAGCACCTTGGGAGTCCTGCCGTGGCTCCAAGTCTCCAGAGTGGAAGATGTAGGTTAGGAAGAAGATATTTGCACATTGTTGACTTTGTAATTTCTAATTCCTTTTTAGTGAATCACAGACATACATCACTCTAGTTTTTCTGCCCATAGTTTGCCTCTCTGATCAGCCACACCCAGCCCTTCACATAACCCTGCTCTGTTTATAAGTTAACTGGACCAAAGTTGGTTTTTCCCATCAGCCATGAGATCCCACTTCTGCCTCCCATTATCTACTTAGTTAGAGTTTCACCTTGCCCTCAGGTCCCCTGAGCTGGGCAGTACAGCTGATGAGAAAGCAGAGCTCTAAGCTGTGGTAAACACCTGTCTCAGTGCAGCAGTTCTGTGGGATGGATCCCAAGAGACTAACCCATGGAGCTTCCTCCTGACCTGCTTCCTTAAACACTGCCTGCTGTGAACCTTAAAATAGTGCATCATCTTAACCCTAGGCTAGCAGAAACTGAAGCACCCATCAGTGGTATTGCTTTGTTCAGTTTATAAAGGAAGTACATGCTTGTGTGTGTGTATCTTACAGTGATACAGCCAGAACCTTCCTGATCTGCCTGTATGTGTTACTCTACCTGTTTAGTGTTGGCTTGCATTGTTGTTGTTCTACAGGAACCTTCTTTGCTTGTTGGTTATACTTTTGACAATCAATGTGCAGATACAATATTAAAATTTCTGATTTTTCAGCTTTGCAGAGTATTGATGTAGTGTCTTTTCTTCTTTCTTGCCCACTAGGATCAAATATTTTACAGAAGGTTAACTGGAAAAGCAGTCCTCAAAAGAGTTTTTGCATCCCAAAGACTGACAAATCTGTGTTTTGTGTTAACACAGGGTAAAAGATAAAATACTTTGGTTTACTTATGATGCTATAAGGCCTTATTCACAACTTTTGTGTTCTTACAGGGTGGTTCCTGAATCTCCACGTTGGCTCCTGACACGTAAAAAGGGAGAGAAGGCATTGAAAATCATGCGCAGGATTGCAAAACACAATGGGAAATTTCTCTCACCCCATTACTCAGAGGTACAGTCATGTGTTTGAGCTAGAGGTTTTTCCAAAGCTTTCTTAAGCTTTGGAAAGTTCAGTGGTGTTAAAATGCATTCTCTCTAAGGGATGGACAGCACTCTTGAAGAGTCACATCAGAACAGTTTGTTATCAGTCACACAACCACTTTGTTAATCGCAAGATGGGAAAAGTGAACTGGCTGGAAATACACAGGCTGCAAAAAAAAAAAAAAAGCTTGCAAAACAAGGAATCAGGTCTTTCTTTTGTAACACTCCTACTTTAAAAACTTGTGGGAAGTATCAGAAACTAACCTGAGGGGCAATGGTGTTTCATAGCAGTTGCCATTTGATCTGACAGAGCGAGTGGAGATAGCATGATCCACTTTCCTGGCTCCTTTTCGCCTTTTCTAGAAGTTCCTTTTACAACTCTAAGAGAAAAGGAAATTAGATTTCAAGTATAAATTTGCTTCCATCCCAACAGGGAGAAAATACGCTGCAAAGTTCACAGCTGAGGAAGCTCTGTTGAGATCACTATTCACAAAGTAGGATGATAAGTGTTAGAGTCACAGTCCTTTGGCCAGTGGTCATAGCAGAACTTGAAAGGATTGATGCATTTAATGCAAATAATGCTGCTGTGACATTGCAGCATTTGGCTTGTCCTGTGTTGGTAGCAAGTGTCAGGCTCTCAGACCATGATTACTGCAGCATTGGACTTATGGTTCAGTGAGAACAGATGTGCTAAACTGGAGTGATTATGGTCCCTTTCAACACAAAACATTCTATGATTCCTGTGCTGGGAGCCCAGAGCTGATGCAGCACTGCAGGTGGGCTCTCACCAGAGCAGAGGGACAGAATCCCCTCCCTCACCCTGCTGCCCACACTGCTTTGGATGCAGCCCAGGATACAGTTGGCTCTCTGGGATCCAAGTGCACGTTGCTGGGTCATGTCCAGCCTCTCACCCACCAGAACCCCCCAAGTCCTTCTGGGCAGGGCTGCTCCCGGACTGTTCACTCCCAGCCTGTGCTGATCCCAGGGGTTGCCTGGATCCAGGTGCAGCCCCTTGTTAAACCACATGAGATTATGAAAGGACATAGAGGTGCTGGAGTGAGTCCAGAGGAGGGCTGTGAAATGCTCAGAGGGCTGGAGCACCTCTCCTCTGAGGAAAGGCTGAGAGAGCTGGGGTTGTTCAGCCCAGAAAAGTGAAGTTTCCAGGGAGGCCTTCGAGCTGCCTTCCAGTACCTAAGGGAGAGTTACGAGAGAGCTGGAAAGGGACTTCTGTCAAGGACATGAAGGAACAGAACAAGGGGGAATGGCTTCAAACAGAAAGAGGGCAATTTTAGATTAGATATTAAGAAGAAAATCTGCACTGTGAGAGTGATGAGGAACTGGAACAAATTTCCCAGAGAAGCTCTAAATGCCCCATCCTGGATAGTGTTCAAGGCCAGGCTGGACAAGGCTTTGGGCAATCTGGCCTAATAGACAGTGTCCCTGCTCATGGCAAGAGAGCTGGAACTAGATGAACTTTAGTGCCCCTTCCAACCCAAACCTTGCTATGAGTCTATGAATCTATAGTCTTTTGCTGGGGCATATACACCAGTGTATTCCCACATCCAGTCAGAATTTTGCAGTGCCAAGGTGCCCCAAGTCACGTAGCAGGAAGTTTGTGCTTCTGCAGCTTCCTCTCCGCATTCAGCCCCACATTCCTACACCCACTTCCTCTCTAAACATCAGCATTTTCAAAGCATCATGTCAGAAAGATGTGTCTTTCCATGCTTTTTCTTTAAAGTTGAATTTTGTTTGTTTTTTTTTTTTTCAAAAGTGTCCATGCTCATGACCTTAAGCCACTCACAGCTGTAACAGATGAACCTCCACACATCCAGATTTGTATTGGATCTATTCCTAGGACCTTTTTAATATAGAATCTCTGTCATCCTTTTGCTGTGCCCAGGGAAAAGAGAGCATCTCCAGGAAGTGCATGGGTAATGGATCAAGGGTATTTCTCACATTAACTGATATCAGACTTCTCTTTCATGAAGCAGCTCCAGAATTTTAGGCTAAGCGCTGCAGGTGTGGAGGCTCAGGAAGAAGTGAGAGGCATTATTCCTCAATGCACTTGGGCTCAGATTTTCCAGTATGTCTGTATCAATTTCATCAGCCAAGTCTCTTACACAGCTCTGGATGTTGCAGCTTTGGGTTTTTTCCTGGCATGCAGAAACCACAGATGACCTTTATATGAAAAAGGATAAACATTTGCTGCTTTTGCTTTGTGAGTTATGACACTGGTGTAGGTCAATGCCAACCAGAACTTATTAAATTAATTCTAAATTATAAACTCTTTTTTTCCAGTTGCTCATATTTATCCTAGCATGGAGAGTTTTTTCAAACTAATTTTCTAATTCTTGGTCTCTGTCCAAAACCAGAATGAACTGCAACCCTCTGAGTAGAGCTACTTCTTATGAGAATTGTGGATCAAAACCTGTCCTTTTATCTACAGATTTTTTCCCTACCCTATAGAACATATCTAGACATGTATATTTCTTGCATACATTAAATTACATATGTAGATGCTACATACATCCATGTGTGTAAACGCCTGCACGGCCCATGAAGAATTAAGCATGTGTAGAACTATGTACACAAAAATAATTGCTGGAAAACTGATATGTAATTTTGCTGGAACATGAAAATGTGAGGGAAGTTATAAAGGGCTCATCCAGGGTTTTCAAATAGTGTAACTTTGGAAACATGGGCCCTGTCACTGAATTCCTGACTGCACTGGTGTGAATAGCAAAGTTCTCCTTGACTTCAAAGAACAAAAAGAGGATTTTTCCCCTGCAAAGTGTTGACTCTCCATAGTGCTTTCTTTCTTCATCTATAAAAAAGTGCTCAGTCATGCTGGGGTTATTTTGACTTTATTAAGACATAAAAATACAAGTGGCAGTTGTGCTGAATTTATCTTTAGTCCTCTAGAAATCTAAAACCATATTTGCACAAAGTCACAACTGATGTCTGGCAGCCTGTTCTTATAAACAACAGACATGGCAGCTTTATAACCATATTATGGAGAATCCAAGAGCAGTGCAGAAACCCAGCAACCTCAGCCTGCCTCACTAAGGACTCTGGCATGCAGCACAAGTGGCAGTGCTTTGAAGAAAACTTTTGGCTCTGGTTACAGAAGAAAAGTGAGAGGGAGTAGAAAGGAAGTTCAAACAACTGTGGGGTTTCTCTGTCTGACTTACAAAGCTTTGTGTCAGTCAGTTAGGAAAAAGTCATGTGTAAACACATCCAGCCAAATCTCACTGAAAAGCAGCTGTGCTACCTTATGATATAATAAAACAAATAAAGGGTGAAAGCTTTGGGCTCAGCTCTGGCTGTGCTGATGAGACCCTCGGGTAATGCCTTTGGCTTTACCTGTGTTCTCATCATGGATCTGCATGTTACCTCCAGCTTCTCTGTCTTTTCATTCCTGTCTCCCCTCTGGCCTGGGCTCCTGCACCTCTGGGAGCAGCAGGTGCTGGGGTAATAGAGAGGGGTTTGCTCCTCTCTTTGCTCCTCCTCTTAGGCTTCCTCTCAGGAGGGGTCAATAATGGAGAGTTAAAGCAACAAGGCTGCCTAAAATCCTTCTAAAAATGGCACAGCAGGTTTAACCCCATGTTCCCCACAGCTGCTTTGAGAGCTGATAGCAATCCCAGCTGTGCCTGCATCATGTTTGGTGCCTGCCTGAAATTGACTCTGCCTTATCTTCCTGGTGTCTTCCTCACTTGCCAAATGACCACATGAACGAAAGGTTTTCACCTGGCTTGGTTAAAAACTGCTGGCCAGGGTTAAAAACAGCCTAGATCAATGTAACTAATCCCTTTTCGGCCCTGCTAGTATTCTGGCTCTGTACTATCCACAGCAATGAACTTCAAAGGGTAAGCACAGGACTGTGTGAAATCCTGCTCTTTTCTGTTAATGTTAAACCTTCTAACCAGTAGTTTCATTGAGTGTCTCATTGTGATTGTATTGCAGGCAGCTGAGAGCAGATTTATTGTACTTTGCAGGCAGTATAAGAACCATTAATTCATACTTAGCACGTTATTTTTTTCAGGGTAAAAGCCATGTTCAGCACAGCGTGTGTGTATTTATATCAGGACCCTCTGAATTTCACCGGTTGAATATTTTGTAGCACCCAAGTTAGATCACAGATAATAGATGTCATAGATCTGCTCTTTCTCTCATTCCCCTTTTCTTCCTGCTGCCCAGCTTGCTGCCAGTGATGTTCCCAAGCCCATTGCCTGCTGCTCAGCCCTTCTCTCCCTGCTTCCCTAAGCCCATTGTTTTGCCCTGTCTCCTCCTCCGTGCCACCCCTGGCAGAAGGCAATTCTGTGCCCAGTGGCCCTGATGTGACAATGATTGCTTGTTACCTTCCAAGAAAATCCAGGTCAACAAGGAGGAAATAATTTTTCCATTCTCAAGTTAAGAATGGGGATTTTTAAAATTGATTTTTGCACAATCATCATTAAGGAAAGCTAACAGCTGTATCCAGTTATTAGCTGTTCCAACACCTGTGCACTGCTCTGGAGTGCTATGAGCAGCAAACTGGCTTGCCAGAACCTTTGCTCACTGGACTGGAACATTGCTGATCGCTGTATTTACACAGAAACCGTGTCCCAGTGTGTTGCTCTTGTGCTGAGATTGAGGCAGGAACAGGTGAGAAGCAGGATCATAGAAAAAGCAAAGAAGGCCTTCCTTATTCAGAATAACCGCGCTTTCACAGATACATTTTATGAAAAATCCTTTCCTTAGGATTTTTTCTCCTGAGAAGCTGAGCGGCCTCAGGAACAAAATGTGAACAATGGTTATCTGCTGCTGTGGAATGCAACAAGTAGATCTGTGATTGGTCTCATGTGGTTGTTTCTAATTAATGGCCAATCACAGTCAGCTGGATCAGACTCTCTGTCCAAGACACAAGCCTTTGTTATCATTCCTTCCTTTTCTATTCTTAGCTAGCCTTCTGATGAAATCCTTTCTTCTATTCTTTTAGTATAGTTTTACTATAATATATATCATAAAATAATAAATCAAGCCTTCTGAAACATGGAGTCAGATCCTCGTATCTTCCCTCATCCTAAGACCCCTGTGAACACCATCACACAATGCGGTTTTTACAGAGTGGTATGATAGGTTCTATTCTATTGGCTAACTAACAGAAACATCTTTCTCACGCACTGTACTTGAGAGGAACAGAAAAATAAAGTAGAAAAACACCCCCTGCAAATTGTTTATACTCAACAAGTTATCACATCTTTCCAACTCCCTAAAATTTCTACAAGCCGCTGGGAGAAACGCTTGCCGCTTCTCTCTCTCTGTCCCATGGCATCCCCACCAGTGCCTGCCTGACTGCTGACTGCTGCCCACTTGTCTCCTCAGATCACTATTAGCAACGAGGAGGTCAGCAACCCCTCCTTTCTGGACCTGGTGAGGACTCCCCAGATGAGGAAGAACACGCTCATCCTGATGTACGCCTGGTGAGTGCCCGTGTCATCCAGCTTGTTACCTGGGTGAGGGGTCTTGAGGAAAGATTCCCTTGTGCTTTTTAGGGTCTCTCCAGCTGCTTGCAACCATTTGTTTTCCTCTCAACTCTTTTTTCCCTCTGCTGTTTAGGTTCACAAGTGCCCTTATCTACCAGGGGCTTGTCATGCGCCTGGGAATTATTGGAGGAAACCTCTACCTGGATTTCTTCATCTCAGGAGTTGTGGAGCTGCCCTCTGCTTTCCTCATCTTAGTGACAATGGATCGCATCGGCCGGCGCCTGCCCTTCGCCATGGGCAACATCGTGGCGAGTGTGGCGTGCCTCATCACTGCCTTCCTGCCAGAAGGTAATTCATTCCCTGCCCTGGGACAGGCTCTGCAGCTCAGTGGCACCCCCTGAGCAGGGATAGTGACCCACACAGAGCTGCTGTAAAAGTAGAAGCATCTGGAGATAGAGGCAGCACCCAGTCATGGAACAGCACACCTTATCTGCATGTAGCACAGCACCTTGTTTCCCTGGCACATGGAACACCCATCTCTTTGATGGGTTGTGAACAACAGCTGGGAGTAGCCTTAGAGAAAACTTCTATAAAGGCCCTGCACTCTCTTTAAAGGCAAATGCAAGGGATGAATATGCAAACATAATGGGAAAAGACATTCCCTGACCTGGAACACACTTAGTGATGTAAGAAATCAGTGACTTTGGTGAGTCATCTTGGTAAGTCTTTTCCTTTACAAGCAAAACAATGCAAACCACAACACAATGTAGGGGCTGTGGTTGGCATCACAGAGATTGTTGCCTCGCCCTCACTCTCCCAGGGGTTTGGACAATGCTAAGAGGCTGGGAGAAAGATATGGCTTTTGATTAAGCCATTCTTATTTGGTTTCAAGGACAGAGAAAAGGTCTGATATTGCACAAAGGCTTCCCAGCACTTCTCTCCGTTCTTTAAAGTGTTTTCCCTAGCATGTTTTTTTAGAGGGTTTTTTAATTCTTGTTGTTTTTGGGGTTTGTTTTGTTTTGTTTTGTGGGGTTTTTTTGGTTTGTTTGTTGGTTTGGTGTGTTTTTCTTTTTTTTCTTTTTTTTTTTTTATCCCTAGGGAGGCATATGGAGGTGCTTTGAATTGTATATAACCATAGGATTATGCTTTGTCTTACTGGGGACCAGCAGCTCAAGGGACATCAGAAAGGCTTATTCCTTCCCAGAACTGTTCCCCTAAAAGTGAGGAACAGTCCTAAGAGGTTTTAGTTTCTCAAGGTGTATCATGGAGCTGCCAACAGCCTTCTCTCAGTAGGAGAGGACAGCCTTGGGATTAAGATACTTGCAGTTGGACACTTGAGGTCCAAGTCCTGCTTTTAAGTCTGTTTATACAGATGAAAAAAACTGCAGCTCTCAGATCTGAGCCCCTTCACACTGTCTTGCTCACAAAATTCCAGTCCCCTGGCAGAGAGAGGATCCACATGGACGTCACCATCACCTTGGGAGTCTGATGGACTGAAGGGATGCCATGGAGATGATGTGGATTTGTTCTGTTCTTTCCAGCCTTTGTTTTTCTTGTATACTTTTGAAAACAGAACTCTTCAGGGCAAAAGCAGTGTCAGCAACATGGGATGAAGTTTGATGGTGGTTTGTTTGGTTGTTTTGGAAGGGAAAAAAACCCAAGTGTCTCATTTTTGGTTCAGAGCAAACTGAAATGTTTTCTTGTTCTTTCACTGAAGGTTTGAGAAAACACAATTGCTGCCAGAGCCCTCTCCAGTGGCAGAACTCCCCTTTGTGCCAAGTTCAGGCTTGTTTCACTTGCCTCTCTGTCTGCCTAGTCAAGGTTAGACCATGCAGGAGACTGTCCTCTCCCAAGAGCGTGACAGAAGTGCTTGTCACATTCCTTGTCATGCACTTCCAGAGAGCACTAGGTCTCCAAAGAGGGGTTGCTCACTCTGAGAGGGGCAGCTCTGCCCTGCTGTGTGTGAGTGGCCACTGCATTTCTGCTGCTGTACAAGGTCTTCCTGCTGATGTATTTAGGGCAGTGGCTGCTCACCAGAGCTTGAGTGGAGCTGGGAGAGCTGGGCAGAGCCCACGGGGCAGTGCCAGGTACAGCCTGTGCCAGGTATGATGGAAGGGGAGGCGAGGATGACCAGGACTAGCATAATTAGGAGTTTGTCTAATGTGCAATGGCTAGAAAAATCACAAAGGGTAGGTGGACTGCTCTAGGGAGAATGATTTTACTGCAGCCTTCCTGGAGGTTTCTAAGTCATGTGTAGATGTGGCACTTAGGGACATGGTTTAGTGGTGGAGTAGCAGGGTTGGGGAAACGGTTGCACTCCATGGTCCTAAAAGTCTTTTCCAACCTAAGTGATTCTGTGATTCTGTGAAGCTTTAGAGGTACTTTCCTTGGGGTCAGAAGGCTTTGGGAGGTGACTCAACAGTGTTTCTTACAGCATAACATCTCTCTATAGAAAAATACTCCTTTCTGGAGCACAATTTGGATGTGGTCATGGAAGCTTATGATGGTTATTCTCCCACCCATGCTGTTATGCCCCACCAGTATCTTGAATCAATCAACTCTAGTGATTTCTAATCTCCAAAGCAGCCTCACATGACATTTGAAAGCAATAAATGCCATTATAGATTGATACCTACAGCAGTGACCTTTCAGTCTGACTTGCAGTGTTCCTGTGGTATAATTTCTGCTGATGGGCCTGGGGCTCTCAGAAATGCTCTGCTGGTGTGGCAGAGCACACTTCACTCAGAAGTGTTTCTTTTTGTATGAACAGATATCCCATGGCTCAAAACAACAGTTGCCACGCTGGGAAGACTGAGCATCACAATAGCTTTTGAAGTTGTCTATCTAGTGAACAGTGAATTGTACCCTACAACACTGAGGTATGTCAAAAGCTCCTAGGAACCTTTCAGCTTTTTCCTGTGCTTTTCACCATTTCCTGTTTCACTGTCCTTTGGTTAAACTTGGTTGTCTCCAGAGTTTCCTGCTCTGAATAGCCACTGCTTAATGCGGACAGCATATACTGAAGAGATAATTTTGGAGTTAAGTCTACATTCTACTCCTTAAACTGCTGGCTATTCTGTTTGGTAGCACCTCTCTAATATCTGGTACTTTTTGTCTTTTGCAGAAACTTTGGTGTTTCCCTCTGTTCAAGTCTGTGTGATCTTGGTGGGATCATAGCCCCATTCCTGCTTTTCCGATTAGCAGCCATTTGGTTGGAGCTACCTCTAGTTATTTTCAGTAAGATTTAATTTACAATATACTTTTGGTTTAAATATCCTTCTCCTAACAGAGCTTTTCTTTTGGGTCAAAAGCAGTATGTGGCCTTATCTCCCCCACAGAAGAGGAGTGCTTCTCCACCTTTATGCCTAGAGCAAGAGGCTGAATGGCAAATGGGTGAAAGGTGATTCCTCTGCACAGTGGGGAAGAGCTCAGGTCTGCTTAGGTAACACTGCTAAGGGAGCAGAAAAGAAACTATGTGAAGTGCTTTAAGACTTAGAAATCTTTCAGCTAGGTTCTGTAATTGCATGGGAGTCTGTGGCTAAACCAGACTTCTAGGAGGTAGATGTGACTGGAAAAAATCAAAATGAAAACGATAGAATAAGAGGAGAAATTTGCACTAGTTACAACTTTAGCTGAAGACAAAATTGGAAAGACAAAAGACTTTAATCTTTTAAAAGATTACCATTGTTTCAAGAAAATACATAGATAGAAGTACAGTGTTCACATTATCTAATTATTAAATTCTGCTGCTTCTGAGGGACATATGAATTCCCTCTGTCTTAAGTAAACAGCTACAAAATCAGAGAGGATCAGAGTGAACTATGCAACACTCAGGGAACATTTGATTTTTTGCTCCAGCCCTTCTATTTTTGACTTAATACATTCTATGAGTTATATCTATGCAGGAAATTATTCCAAAATATCCATTCCTAATTCAGATTGTATCTGAGTGCTGTTCCCCAAGGAGGAGTTTTTATTCTGAACCACATAATTTACTTTGGCCGCAGATAAAGAAGAGAGTATTCAGGAAAATCTCAGTGGTTTCAGGAAACACAGATACATCTGCATGACAAGAGCCCTTTGAGAAAAAGCAGATTTGTTCAACATGAGAAATACCACCCTGGTTCCTGTGCTGTTTTTATACAACAGTCCAGGTGCACTCATCTCAGGTTTTTGACTTCTAAGACCTCCCTTTGCAGAGATCAGGCTGCAAATGAGCTCCTAGCCCTCAACTGATTTTGTAATAGGCTAAATTAATGTAACATAGAGGTATTTGATTATAATAGGTTAATCAGAAATAGCTGATGCACTTAAAACATCTCACTTCAAACTCAATCTGAATAAACTTTTCTCAGTGGATAAATGCTGAAAATAAAAAAGTAACAGTGTCCTTATTGCTTTTGTATTTCTTCCATGTCTATTGTAGGTATTCTTGCAGCTGTCTGTGGCCTCCTAGTATTGCTTTTACCAGAGACAAAGGGAATCTCATTACCAGAGACAGTGGAAGATGTGGAGCAGCTTCCAAGGTATGAGATATATTTTCTGACTTATACTTTGCTGAGGTTTCCAGGGGATGTTCTCCTCCAACTTTACCAACTGTCATAAAGTATTGACATTTTCCAGCATCAAAGTAAATTCCCTAGCTGGGTTGATGCTATGAGCAGATGGTATTTTTCTCAATAGAAACCTGAACTTTGCGATATCACTAAGGAAGGATATTAAAAAATGTATGGTGATAAAACCTGTATTTTTCTCATAAAGACACAAAGTTGTCCTATGCATCTCTGGAAGCAAAACGCAGCAACAGTGCACAAGAAAGGTGCTGCAAAGCATAGTCTGCAACTCTCTGCTCAAAAAAACCTAGCCATTACCTCAGTTAAAGCATCTTGTGAAGAAGGGCCCCTTATCATGGATGCAATCCCACAATTTGTGAAGTCATTTAAAAGTCATATATGAGATGGATTTATAGGTGAAGAGCTTTAGGCACAGCTTTCCCACTCCTCGCGCACAGCAAGCCAGACTGCCCTACAGATATGCAGGGAATATTTGCACCTTGACTAAATAATTTGAGGTCCTAGTGCTATAAATGAGTTTCAAGGAGAGGCTTTGAATATTACATTAAAAACTTTTGCCTGATTCAATGTACAAACAAAAGAAAGAGGAAATTTTCTGGGGAAAAAAATAATGTTTCAGTACTGCAACTTGGACTACAACTTAAACTATATATTTGCCTGTTTTTTTACATTTATACCCCTCTCCCCTTCTGTTTCAACAGTCATTTTGGAAAATGTGGCAAGAAACAGAAACACCAGGACACCAACTCTTATATTTGACTTTTGAAGGACAGCACTGAGCTGAGAACCTTGTTCCCATACTGGGAATTTGTTCTCCACCTGCCACCACTTCAAAATTTGCTGCAGAATATGGATTAAACTTCATGTTTTCCTTCTAAGCACAAGGACATTTAATACAAGTACTGTATTTTTCTATGAATATGGAATAAATGCTTTTTTTTTTTTCTGAGTATGCTGTTTGCAAGAAGGGACTGTGGTTCTTCACAGAGAACAGAACAGCTTTAAAAATATGGAATGTCCAGCTCAGTGACCTTGTATTTATTTCTGTATCTATTTGAGACTTTTGTTTATTGTTTTGTTTGGATTTACATTTGTGTGGGAAGGATTTAAATGGTAGTGCTTGTTTAGATGACTTTGAGGAGGAGAGGATGACTATTTTAACCTGTCTTCCTGTGCCCCTGAAGAATCTGGACCAATAGAAGTTATGATGGCTGAAGAAGGAGGGCACTGATCGGGGTGACATTTTCCCTGGTTGACAGGGATGGAAATCAGCAGTGTGCATCAGCAGAAGCTCTCTCTGGTCTGATTGTCACCCACAGGGACCCTTTTCAACAAGTGGCCTTCTTCCCTCCTTGTTCAAGGGCTTTCTGAAATGTGGAAGCAGTCTCCTCCTCACCTTTCCAGGGCTTTATTTGGGTGTCAGTCCCTGCACAGGGAATTAGCTCTGCAGGACAGATTGTCCTGCTGCCCATTAGTGCCTTCCCCAGGCACAGCTGGGGTTCATGTGACACCCCTCATCCCCCCAAGGGAAGGGCTTCTGCCTGCTCTCCTCTGCTGAGTCCTTTTTCAAACACCTCTTTCAAGAGCACGCTGATTTTTTCCTTTGCAAATCATGCTCTCTGCCCATCCCTACAAAACAAATTCCTTCACCCTCACTACTGCCAAGATGACCTGCAATTTCCGCGTTCTGTTCATTATCACTATTTGTCATCTTTCTATCTTCAGGATTACTTTTTTGGGATTGTTGACAGAGATGTCAAGCTGTCTTGGGGCAGGGATGAGCCAGGAGCTTTGGTTATGAAGGGAGGCAAGTGTTAATTGTTCCTTTGAAGATGACAGAATAACTCTCTGGCTCTGTAGCAGATTCCAGGGACAGACTGCCTTTCCCTTCTCCTGTATGACCTCCGTTAAGAATTGTGTCCTGGCCACTGACTAGTGAACAATAAGCTCCTTGCAGGGAAGGACTTGAAAAGATGTGGCATTCGAAAGGTGTCCCCTTACCAACAGAGAAATAAATAAAAGAAAGTCAGTGAGATGTTGTGAAGAACGTTATAAGCTCACAAAAAACCCCCATGTTTGGCACAAGCAAATATAGGACTGAATTTGGAAGGTTCATACCACAAATCAGTAGCACTATGGTACAGTCAGTGAAAATGAATGATCACTGCTCCAGTCTCACCATCCTAGGAGCCCAGGAGGATTTCCTATGGTGAGAAATATACTGTGCTTTTCAGCAATTCCCAACTCTCCCTGCCTTTTCCCAGCAACTGCCTTTATCACCAGCCCTTCTGGAGGAAAACAGGACCTTTAATAATAATCCCAGCCAAATGTTTGCACACTTTAGGCAGTTAGTGATAAAGGCCTGTCTTTCAAGGCTGTTTCTAACTTACTCTGAGGCACAGCAAAGGTCAAAGGTATGCTTAGCAAAAGTCAGTAATGACTTGGAGATATGAAACTAAATTAACATCTCACAATATATACAGCTAATCTAGACAGCACCACACAAAACTGGAGCTACTGCTACAAGGAGAAAACTTCTCCTGGACCAATACAATCTTCTGTAGATGGCTGGCTGGCAGACACCAGCCCTGAACTGGAAACTGTGGGCTTGCACTGGCCAGATGCTGTGTCTCAGTGAGACCCCCAGCCACAAAACTCAGCCCAGCCAGCCCCTGCTGAAGGCACCTTGGAGAACCAGGGTGAAGTAATCACATGTGATGCTGGGTGAGCTGAACCACCCTCTTCCATTTAGTGCTTCTTCTTCGTGATTTTTTTTTTTTATTGGTGTCTTAAACACTTTAGCAGCTTGAGAGAGACTGGAAATATATTTTAAAGCTATGACTTTCCAAATAAATGGGAATAATATTTGACAGCTTCTTCAGTTTGTGGACAACTAAAACGCATTGAGAAATGAGAGATGTAAAGACTTGTTTCCTTCTTTCAGATTATGCTTTGTTTTGCATAGCATTATGTGTTGCTCAAAAGATAATGTAAGTGATAAATTTCAGTAGGTAAAATGGCTTGGGGCAGTGTCAGAAGTTTGAATATATTTATTTCTTAAAAATTTGTTTTGTAAAGGACAGCAGGAAAAAGCCTATGCATATGTTTTGACTTCTAATCTTGCAGCAACTTCAGGTGGAGTTTGTATTTGGTCATTGCTTTTGTGCTAACTCTTAGCCCTAACAGGGATTTTTTAAGTTGAAAAACCCTTCCATCTCTGTGAGACTTGTGTTGCCTCCTGAAGGTGTAGTGGGTGTGCAATGTGGTGCATGACCAGCAGTCTGGTAATGGTGGGGTTTCACTCTTGTGGATGAGAGATGACAGAGGAGGTGGTGGTAGCAGGTGAACAGCTTCAGTGAGGGAGAACCTCAAGCAAAACCAGCTGCATGGAGGTGGATGCACCTGGGCATGCAGACCACGCGACAGGCTGTTTGTTCAAAAAAGGAGTTATTCTAAATTCATATGTGCCTCCAACTGCTTAATACTTACAGGAAAGTCCCACAAGCTTCTCAGGAGGCAAAGCAATGTTCTCCTAAGATGCATGTGTTGACACTAAAATGGCTGTTGTGAGAGGCAGCTCTTCACTGAGGGCCTGAACTCTGTCAGCTATAATTGTCCTGCACGTGTGTCCTCCAGGGGCACAGGGAGAGATGTGAGGTACACAAGAGACAAAGTGTCGCCGTACCATCACCGCAGGCACACAAACAATGTGACCTCAGAAACCCAAGTGTGTTTTCTCTGTTGGCAAAGAGGTTTCTTGGACCAACAAACAGATGGAAGTGCTATTTTGGGTCAAATGTGCCACTGCCACCACATGTGCTGGCTGACTTTATCCAGTCTGTACAAAGGGTTACCACAAAAAGTGACCATTTTTATTGCCCCTGACAGTCTTGTGGAAGGAAAGGATCATGACTGGCACTGTTTGAAGCGTTATGAGGTGGGACTTCTGCAGTCATTTAGGCATATCCAGAAATTTCTAGCCAGTTTGGCAAGGAGAGCCAGGCCAATGGTTTCTCTGTCTATAAGCCAGGTATTAACCATGCCTTCAAGAGTTCATGTCTGAAAAGCTTAACAAATCAAAGCCCAAGCTGCAACACAGAATTTCTGTTGTCAGGAGGAACTGTACAAATCTCTTGGCTGGCTTAATGACAAAGTGGATACATATGTGGAAAATATGCAGGAGGGTATTTGTGCTCAGTGGATCCCTCTGACCAGACAGGTGGGTGGTGTGTGCTTTATCAGCGGTTCTCCTGGTCAGGAAGGCAATGCCCTGAGATGATTTCATCTCCCAGAATCAGACTCCAGATGTAGAAGCTTCAGAAATCACCCTGGCACCTAATAATGCTTAATAGTTAGCATCTCCCTTTAAGGCACTGGGAAAAAAAACAAACCAAACCAAAACTCCTAGGATGCAGCACATCTCTTCAGAAAGTGCAAGCTTACAAAACATAAAGACAATTTTAAAATGACGTGCAGCTTGGATTGTCTGGGAGTGCAGAAAATGGACAGGACAAATCCCACCCCAGGAAGTAGCTGTGTTACTTGGAATAGCCTCAGCACACCCAGGGGATGCCAGAAGGACCCCGTGCAGAGCTGGGGGTCTCCAGATGCCTGTGGGGAGCTCCCTGCTTTATCTGCCAGAGAGCAGGATGTGAGCAGGAGCTCATAGTCAGCAATTGCTTCACTTTGGCAAGCATGAGTCAAGCTTTCCCTGGAAAGCATTTTGAAAGGTTTAAGCTTACACTCCCTATAACCACATGTGTACATAATCTTTTAGAGGAGAAAAATGTACATCTAACAATTATTTAGTCAGATAATGTTATACGAAGAAATAAATGGGTACTATGGGTATACTATGGGTATACAATTTTATAATATGTAGATGCATTGTCACTTTTTGTGGTACCTACTGATAGCTATTTTCTTTTCTTTTCTTTACTAGGTACTAACTTCAGGGTGAGGCTGTTTTTTTATTCACTGTTTTATATCTTTGATGCAACATTTATACCTTTGTGACACATGTATTTCCTTGATGATAAAAAATATGAAAACACAAACCAAAGGTGTTTCCTTCCCTTTTTTTCCATCCCATGTATTTAATGCTATCAGATATAACTAATAAAACTTCACAGGCATATAAGATATGTACTGTGAGATTCTTCTTTGGTTTGCAGCATCAAATTGGTAATAGGTTCAGACAACTCATAGAAAATAAAAAGTATTCTCATTTCTTCATATGTTAGAAGCAGAACATCTTGAAAATGATGACCTTAAAAGAAAATGTCATTGTAGAGCTTAAAAAAAAATTAAAATTCAGGTGTCCAGTTACAGTTAATGTTGGAATTTTCAACATGTATTTCAGAGGTGGGTAAGTCAGACATAGCAAACAAACTATAGAACATATAGAAACAGGGTAATGGACTGTCAACTGGGCTTTTTGGCAATGACTACTAATTTATAGCAATTTAAAATGGATGATCATATTTATTTTACTTTCTTATGAATGATTGTAGCTTTAATATTGCACTTGGAATCTTGTATTTCTGACATGCATGCTGCTTTCCAGGAGAGGGCAGTCCGTACCCAGGATCAGTTGCTTTCCATCACACTTTTAATCCAAGGAATGTAGTTGGAGACTCGAACATAAACACCAGGTTTCATGGGTAGGGCACAGCCAAGGCCCCAAGAGGTGACTCCATGTTGGACAAATTTATCTTGGTCCAGACAGACTAGAGGTCCTCCACTGTCCCCCTAAACAG